TGTTTGATTTTATGTGTGATGGTATGAACAGCTACTTTGAAGCAAACAAGACATTATGGCAGGCACTGCTGATATACTATCATCTTGTTTTGAAGTTTTACCATGCTTCTGTTCTTCTGTTTCCACTGATTCTATCATGTTGTGTCTTATTGGATTTTAAAATGTGTGAGAGTATAAACAAATTTTTAAGGAAAATGAGATATTATAGTATCCATTGTTCATTTTCTGTTATTTGGTTCTGAATGTCCTGTAATTCTTTCATTCTCTTGAATGATTTTATACTATTTTTTCATGTTTGACACTACTGTGTATGAAGGTATGCTCAACTATTTCAAAGAAGAGACATTATGGTAGCTACTATTAATATCCAGTTGTCTTGTGTGAAGTACTGTGTTTCTTGCATTATGTTTTGATCAGCTTTATACCATTCTTTGTTGTTTCACTGTCTTTAAAATAAAAATAAAATTAAAATGTTTTTTAAAATGCTGAAGGGGCTGTAGGGAAAAAGGAACCCCTCTCCATGGTTGGTGCATATGCAGAGTGGTGCAACTACTGTGGAAATCTGAGTGAAGATTCTACAAAAAACTAGGAGTAGAGGTCCCATTAACTAAGCTATTCCCCCTTCTGGGTACCTTCCCAAAACAATTTAAACAAAAACAGCCTACCACAGTGACACATATATTAATAATAGCCAGATCTCGGAAACAGCCTAAATGCCCATCAACTGAGGAATGGATTTTTAAAAATACAGTGTTTTTATATAACAGAGAACTACTTAGGCATGAATAAGAGTAAACTGGAGACTTATAGGTAAATGGATGCACCCTGAGAACATACTCATTAGTGAAAAAAAAAATGTATGTAAACATCATTTTGTTTCATTACTGTGAAAAGCTAAAACAAAAAACATGTATATGTGTATATATAAGTAAATATGTATGTATATGTATATGTATATGTATATGTATATGTATATGTATATGTATATGTATATAAAAAAGTAAGATAGTTGTACTACTGGTTTCACTGAGTTTGCTGAAGTAAAACATTTATGGTGGTACAGTTAGGGCAATTGAATACAGCTGACTTTTTTCTTTAGGTGAATGATTTAGGGATGACAATGCACAATGTAATGTTCTACTTTTACCCCTGATTGATGTACTTTGAAGTTTTCTTATAGTTTTTGTTCTTCTTCGACTTCTTTTTGTTTCATTTTATCTATAAATAAAATTGATTTGAAAAAAATTTTTTAAAAAAGTGAGCATAAAGCCAACGGGTGCTATTTCATGCCAGTGATTCCATCACTCTGAAGAATAAGACATGAAGATTGCTGTGAGTTCCAGGTCAGGCTGGGCTGAAGAGTGAGTTGGAAGTCCCATACACAGTGAGACCGTGTCTTAAAAAAAAAAAGAAAAAAAAATTAAGACATAATTTAATGAAAGGCAACATATAGCACTGGGAAGGCTGAGACAAGAGCATCACCATGAGATTTAGGACTGCCTAGGCCAGTCAGTTAGCTCAAGACCAATATGGGTGATATTTTCTGTCACAAAAGGATACAGCATGAAAGAAGTCATTTTAAAGTTGGACCTCAGGCACATGTACAATAGAGCACACTTGTAATACAACACTCAGGAGGCTGAGGCAAGAGGATTGCTGTGAATTCAAGGCCAGTCTTGAAACATTATACAGCAAGATCCTATCTTAAAAAGGAAAGGAACAAAGGATTGTAGGAAGGAAGGAAAGAATAGCAGAGAAGGGAGGAAAAAAAAAAGACGGAAGAAAGAAAAGACAAATACAGAGACAGAAAAAGAAAACTAAAAAACAAAGAAGAAAACAGGACAAAAGAAAAAAAAAGTTGGGTTTCCTCAGGCTCTCAATCTGGCCAATAATGACTATGACATAAAAATATTTAATGTTTCATCATTTACAGGTCTCATACAACCTAAAAATTCCTTATTAAGTTTTTATAAGGATGACTAAAGCATAAACAGCCATCTGTCAGTGAGAGAAAAGGAACAGTTCTACACTGTTGGTAGTAGTGTAGACTGGTACACCACTGTGGAAATCAGTGTGGTGATTCCTCAAAAAACTAGTGAGAGGTCCTATTTGACCCAGCTATTTATCTTCTGAGTAGTTTCCTAGAAAAACTCAAAATGCCATGTCACAGTGATACATGCCCACCCATGTTCTTAACAACACAATTTGTAATAGCTAAATCTTGGAAACGACCAAAATGCTCATCAATTGCAGAATGGATAAAACGAAAAAGGTATGGTATTTTTAATACAATGGAATATTACTCCGCTATAAAAAAGGATAATCTTGAGTTTAGAAGTTTAACTGTGACACTCAGTAGGCAGCCAGGATTCTTGCTTTATAATTATCATCATCCTGTGCCAAAGGAGGGCAAAGAGATTTTGCGAGTGCTACACCCACTACATCTGCCCTGGGGAAGGTGGTGGGGCCTGTGTACAATATTAGCCAGAAGAGTTCTGTTTTCTCCTTTTGCTCTGCCTACTACCTTCAAGTATTGCCCCAGTGCCATGCCAAATTGCCTTGGAGCCAGCTGATTATGGACTGAAGGCTCCAAAACAGTAAGAAATATACTGTTCATTCCTTCATTTTGAGTGTCAGCTGTTTTGTCCCAGCAACAAAAGAAAAGTTACCAAGACCATCTATACAAAAGACCCCAAAAACTCTATCAACTTTACTAGAGATAATAAGCAAATTCAGCAGTATGGCTGTATACAAACTCAGTACTCAAACATCAACACCATTACTGTCCACAAACAACAAAGTCATTGAGAGAGAAATTATGAAAATGACACCTTTCACAATAGCAACCAAAACAATGAAATATTTAGGAATCATCCTAACAAAGGATGTAAAAGACCTGTACATTGAAAACTACAGTACTCTAAAAAAGATGATTATAGAAGATGTCAGAAAATGGAAAGATATTCCTTGGTTAGGAACACTGAGAAAATGGTCATATTTCCAAAACAGTTATACAGATTTAATGCAATTCCAATCTAAATTCCAGTTAACATATTTTACAGATCTAGAAAAGACATTCCTAAAACTCATTTGGAAGCAGAAGAGATCTAGAATAGCAAAGGCAATCCTGGGCAGCAAAGAAAGGCAGGAGGCATTGCAATTCCTGACTTCAAATTATACCACAAAGCTACAAAGATAAAATCAGCATTATACTGGCAAAAACACGGACCTACGGATCAATGAGGAACAGATTAGAAAATGCAAACTATAAAGACATTTAGCAGGGCCAAGAATTTAGCTCAGTGGCATAAGCACCTGCTTCATAAGTGTGAAGTTGTGAGTTCCAAACGCAGTGCCAAAAAAAAAAAAAAAGGCACTCAACCACCTTATATTTGACAAACAACCTAACCATGTTCACTGGAAGAAAGACAGCCTCTGTAATAAATGGTGCTGGAAAAATTGCCTTTCTACATGCCAAAGACTGAAAATAGACCTATGTCTATCACTATGCATTAAATTGAAGTTAAAATGGATCAAATACTTAAATATTAAAACAGAAATACTAAGTCTACTGGAAGATAAGGTAGATAGAAATCTTGAGTACATAGGTGAAGGCAAAGAATTCATAAAACACAAACCACAGGGAGGTACTTCAAAGAATCAATAACTAGGGTCTCATCTTATTTGAAAGTTTTTACACTTCAAAAGAAATCACCAACATAGAGAAAGAAAACCCACAGAATGGGAAAGAATTTTAGCCAGATGGCCCTTAAAGGATTTATATCTAAAATATATGAAAAACTGAAAAACATCCCCCAAATTCAATGACCCTCTCAAAAAGGGGGCATGTGACATGAACACACATTTCTCACATGAAGAAGTACAAATGGTAAATAATAATGAAGAAATGTTCAACAACATTGGTCATTCAAGAGACGCAAATTAAAACTGAGATTCTATTTCACCCTGGAAAGAATGGCTGCCATCAAGAAATCAAGCAATAGCAAGTGCTGCAATGTGGGAAAAAAGGAACCCACCACTGTGGAAATCATTGTGGAGACTCCTCAAAAAATTAGGATTAGAGGTCCCATTTGACCCAGCTATTCCCCATCTGGGTATTTTCTGAGAAAAATTGAAAATGTTACGTGACAGTGATATATGTGAACCCATGTTTACAGCAGCACAATTTGCAATAGCTAAATCTTGGAAACAATCAAAATGCCCATCAACCGCAGAATGGATAAAATTTTTTAAAAATGTGGAATTTTTGTATGATGAAATATTACTCAGCTATCAAAAGGATAGTCTAGAAGCTTTTATAAGTAAATGGAGGCAACCTGAGTCCATACTCATAAGTGAAATAAATCAGACTCACTTTTGGAAATATATTGTCTCTCTAGTGTAAAAAATAAATAATAATAATAATACTTAAAGAGTAATAAGATCCAAAATGTATAACAAATATTGGAAAAAGGAAAGAAAGTGCTCAAAAAGAAAAGACAGCTGGAATAAGGGAAAGGACAAATGATTGTTGAAGAAAGGAAATGATTGTATGTATATACATATACTCATATAACTATGTATATGTATGTAAGATAGATAACTATACTACTAATCTCTGTTAGGCCATCAAGAAGAACAGTTTGCATATCACTGTTTGACCATTTGATCATTTTTTATACCTAGATCTTGTACCCAGAACAACTACTTCTGTTCCTTTTTTTTTTTTTTTTTTTGGTCTTTTTCGGTACCAGAGATCAAACTCACAACCGCACACTTGCAAGGAAGGCGCTTGTGCCGCTGAGCTAAATCCCCAGCCCCTAGAACAACTACTTCTAAGATAACAGTAAGTAATATAATAACTACTGTTCATTTTGAGTTTTTTAAAATTCTGTATTATTTCTATTCTTTTTCTGTTTTTCTTTCTAAAATAAAAAATAGGGTTAATTACATAATGCAAATATAAATCAATCAGAAATTTAAAAAAAAAAATACATTACCTTTTGAATAATCTTCCAGTAACAGGTTGAAGTGACCTAACTGACAAAAGAAATCAGATTCCACTTTTCCATCTGTTTTTAATATTAAAGATTCGTAGCAGTGAACAGCCTAGAAATAAAAAATATGAAATTTTTAAAAATAAAACCCTAAACTGCATTTCATCCCTGAAAGAATACATATATTTACAAGTACAATCAACAAATTTCATTTTCTAAAATCAAATATTATTTGGTATATTATTCCTGAAAAGAAAGCTTCCCTAAATAATAACAGAGCCAGTAATCATGATCTAAATGCTTTCTCATCTTAAAAAAAAAGTACTGTCAAATGAAATGATCTAAAAGCACATTAGCATCACACATACAGATTTTAAATAAAAATGCAAAATCTAATTGTTATTTTATTTCACATTTAAACAACAAAACTATTCTTAAGGTAAAAATACAATCATATATAACATACTTCAAAGATCATACATTAAAAAAGTTTAACCATTCTTCAATACTTCTCCAGACCACATTAAAATAATATCTTTAAATACATTAGGTTAGATAAAAAAATATTGCTATAGTCATGCATGGTGATGCTGACCTATAATGACAACAGTTAGAGGTTCCAGAAGTGTAGACTCATAATTCTGGTACTCTAGAATTATAAAACAAAGGACTGCACATTAAACCTAGCCTGGACAAGGTAGTCCCTCATGAAATGCTCTCCCACAAAAAAAAAAAACAAAAACCAGATTGATGGTGTGCCTCAGTATGAAGGCCCTGGATTTAACTCACAATACCACCACAAAAAAATATAAATAAAAATCAGAGAGAAAAAGAAAAATAAAATATTTACTTATATCCTTCTATATTTAATATGTTTATTATAAAATTTAAATTGCAAGTATAACTCACTAGTACACTGCTACAAAATGGGCTATAAATAAAAACAATGCCTAACTCTCCACTGTAATTTTTAGTCATCAACTTTTAGAATATCATAAATTTGTGTTTCAATTGTGTAATACCTATTCTGCTTCATGCATACTACTCCAACACATTCTCTTACATTTTTTTAATAGAGTAAAGGAACACTTGCTCCTCATTCCAGAGACCTAGGGATTAGCAAGATCATCAGCCTCATGCCCCTCCTCCCTCCAAAGACCACGGACCACGGGGTCAACAGATCATTAGCCCCACTCTTCCTTGGCCTCACTCTCTTTCACTCCAAGGACCTAAGGGTTGTCAGGATCATCGGCCTCACCTCCCATCTAGCTCTACAGACCTAGAGGTCAATAGGATTGGTGACCTCACCCCTCCTACATCCACTGACCCAGAGGACAGTGACATTGTCAGAATCATAATCTTTGTTACTCCACAAACGTAGGCGCCAGGAAGATCATCAGTGATTCTCCTCCACCCACACAAAAGACCACAATAGCCCACCGACAACTTGCCACCCTTTCCACCACCTGCAGAACCTTAGTGGGTTGGTATAAGCCTCAACAAATTCTCACCCACACAGAAGACCTCAGTGGAGTTTTGATAATGTGGTTAGTTTCCCCCTCAAACAGAGGACCTTAGGGGGTACAGGGGAGCAGCAGTGAACTTGCCAGCTGTAGGACTTTGGCAAGTCTGGCAAGAATACAAGTGAGTCTTTCTACCATAAAGAAAACACCAGGTGGGTTAAAGAAAGTACACAACAAGACCTCCCCCAACTTAGAGGAAATCAAAAGGCCTTACAAGACACCTAATGAAACAGCAGGGTCCCAGCTCAGGTGCACACTCTAGTAAAGTAGATCTGGGTGCCTGTAACAGCCTGAAGCCATAGTAACGATAGGAACTAAGGGTTGACTAACATCAATATTCTTATGTTAGTCAGCCTAGGAACAATATAGGACTCACCCACTGGCCCTGTAGGAGGAATTCAGGTGACTAACCTCTCCCCTTCATTGTGGACCCAGCAATGAAGACAAATATCAATCACACAGTAGGACCATAAGACACACACAATGGACAGTTGTGGGATCATAAGACACACATGATGGACAGTGGAGACCAAAATATTAACCCAAGAGGTGAAAACAACAAAACAAAAAGGGAAATGTAATCTCAAATGTCCAGTCCATCAGGAACAAATACAGGAGACATCAAAATAGAGCACATTAAAAGTCACAGCATCGGGGGCTGGAGGTTTAACTCAACAGCATAAGTGCCTGCCTTGCAAGTGTGTGGTCATGAGTTTGATCCCTGGTACCAATAAAAAAGAAAAAGACAAAAAAAAAAAAGTCATAGCATCTGAATTTTCTGAAAAGAAGCAAGTGAAATGAGGCTAGGGAGGAAATCAGATTACAAATCATTTCTAAAGCAAAGAAAGAAATGACAATTTTAATAAAGAAGTAGAAGACAGGAGCATGGATAAATGATGCAAACCTTGAATGAACAATACAGAAAAGAAATAGAATGCATGGAACAAATTCAAAGAGATATATAGGAAGTAAAAAATTCAACTGAAAGCTGGTGGCCCTGGGTCGATGGTGGAAAATTCTACTGAATGAAGCTGAGGATAGAGTTTTGGACCTTGAAGACAGGATCACAGCTTGCAATCATGAAAGAAAAGAACTTTTAACCATAACAAAGGAGTATGAAATAACAAGTCAACAGCTTCAGGATGATGCAAAGAGAAACAATATAATACTAAAAGGCATCAGTGAAAATGCAGGAGTTAATGTGAATGACATCAGTAAGTCAGAAGTAATAGCAGAAAATTTCCCAAACAGGAAAAGAGTCAGATATGCAGGTAAGTGAGGCATACAAAATGCCAAACAATCACAACCAACATAACCTACATCCAGACATAATAATTAGGATCCCAGACATTCAACATAAAAACAGAATACTAAAAGCTATTAGAAAAAAGATACAAAAGAATCAAGGCAGACTTCCCAGCACAAACCCTTGAGATGAGCTTTGTTTCAAGCCCTGAAAGAAAACAACTTTCAACCCAGATTGAAGTACCCTGCAGAACTTTCTTTGAAATTTAATGGAGAAATCTACTTCATTACAAAGAACAACTGATGAAATTCAAGTCCACCAAACCAACCCAAGAAAGAGTACTGAAAGACATACTAGATAAAGAAAAAAATGACTAAAATTCTAGGACAACCACAGAAAGAAACTACCAGGCAGAGCAAGCAATTAAACAAGGGAAAAAAGCAGGAAACCAACAAGAGGAAAATACCATGACAAAGTTGAGCCAGTATCAATTATATTCATCAATGTAAATGGCCTCAGTTCACCAATTAAAAGAAACAGGTTCACAGAATGGATCAAGAAATAGGATGCTGTATACAAGAAACACACCTGATTCAAAAAGAAGTTCACAGATTAAAAGTCAAAGGAAGGAAAACAATATTCTATGCAATAGGAACCAAGAAAAAAAAACCAGGAGTAGCTATTCTGTTTGCAGACTATGTGAACTTCAAACCAAAACTGGTCAAAAGAGATAAAGAAGGTCACTACATGCTTGTTAGTGGAAAACTTCAAGAAGAAGAAATAACAATGATGAACATATACGCACCAAGTACAGGAGCACCCACTATATAAGACAAATATTAATGGGCAGCAAAAACGAAATACACAAGAACACAATTTTAATAGGGATCTTAATGTCCCATTGTCACAAAAAGACAGATCAACTAGACAAAAACTCAGCAAAGAATCAACTTAACTGAACTGACGGTGTGAGCAAATGGACTTAATAGATGTTTACAGAGTGCTCCACCCAAACATCAGAAAGTACACTCTTCTCAGCTGCACATGGGATATTCTCTAAAATAGGCCATAGAAGATTCTTTTATTTAAGAACATTTTTATGTAAGTGGAAAAGAACTGAAATTGTCCATAGAAGATTAGCCCATAGAAGATTCTTTTATTTAAGAACATTTTTATGTAAGTGGAAAAGAACTGAAATTGTCCTATGCATATTATCTGACCATAGTACAGTAAAATTGGAAATTAGTGGCAAAAGAAAGTATAAAACCTAAACATATGGAAATTAAATAACAACCTCTTGAGCAACCAATTGCTTACAGCTAAAATTAAAAGAAGAAATTAAACAATGCCTAAAATTCAATGAAACCAAAGATATAACATAACTTGTGAGACATAATGAAGGCAATGCTAAGAGGGAAATATATAGCAATGAACTGTCACATCAGGAAAACAGGATAAGCCCAAATAAACAACCCAATACTACACCTCAAGCTTCTAAAAAAAAAAGAAGTGCAAGTCAAACCACAACCTCATGAAAGAGAGGAAATTATAAAGATCAGAGCAGAAATTAATCCAACTGATTCTATAAAAATACAAAAAATTAATGACTCAAAAAGCTAGTTCTTGGAGAGAATAAACAGAATTCATAAACTTCTAGTCAATGTTATTGTTATGGTTTGTGTTCAGATGGCCCCCATAAGCCTCACACAGACACAGCTGAATTCAGCATTTGTGATTGGTTCACTGTCTAACACTGAGATTAATGGTATAAACACCACCTCAGAGGCAGAGACAACATACTGTAATGGTAAGAAGAAAGTGTGTCTTATCTTTTTGGCATGGTTCACTCTTGCTGTTTTGCAGTGGCCATGAACGGCGGACCCACCATTTTGCCCTGCATTGGATCCAGCTGAGTATGGACTGAAACCTCAAAAATTGTGAAATAAACCTTCTCTTACCTAATTTTGGGTGTCCAGAATTTTGTCTCAACAATAAGGAAAAAGTAACTAAGACATTTATCAAGAAAAAGAAAAAAAAACCTCAAATTGATACAATAAGGACTGAAAAGGGTGAAATTATGACATCCTATGGAAACTCAAAAGACCACGAATACTTGCTTTGAAAATCTTTACTCATATAGGGTGGAAAACACTAAGGAAATGGACAGATTTCTAGAAATGTATGAACTACCAAAGCTTAATCAAGAAGATATAACAAGCTGGGCTTGGTGGCTCACACCTGTAATCCCAGCATTCAGGAGGCTAAGGCAGGAGGATCGTTGCGAGTTCAAGACCAGCCTAGGCTACAAGATGAATTCAGGCTAGCCTGAACTGCTTTGAGAGA